GAAAGCCAGCGTAGCCTGCCACGTCACGAGACCCGATCGCTGGGAAGGCATGCGGCCACAAGTGTATCCAGCCATCGCACAGGCCAATCACGCTACGTGAATCCAGCTTCTGGGCAGCGAAACGAGGGAAGCTGACAGGCGAGTTCTGCGAAGAGGAAGGAAGAAGAGGCGAAGGGAAAGGAGATAGGGGAGGAGAGGAGAGCAATATACCAGAAGGAAGGTGTTGGAGTGAGCCTGAGGAAGGGGAGGATCCGAAATGCTAGATGAGACATCCAAGACGACACAGATCGCAGCCCCAATGTTTCAATACCCATTCGATGTCCCTCCGCCTGAACAGGGGAGGTACCTACCGTCGTGTATGGCATGATGAAGAACCACCAGGCCGCCAAGACCGAAACGGACACGAGCAGGGGCCGAAAAAGGGGCGGGATCTAGCGAGGTGCGGTCGCACCACATCTGATACCACACTCCACCCCCGCATCCCTTCTTGTTGCGCTGAGTCCAGATATGCTCGCCGACTTGGGTGTCGGATCGGGCCTTGGCATTTCCAGTGCAGAGCCTCGGCGGCCAGGGGAAGGATACTGTGATGGCAGGGAGCTGCTCGCCGAGTGTCTCGATGAGCTGCTCTGGGCGCTGGAACAGCGGGGCGTCGGCCAAAACCGCATGCGCCTGAGCTCAAAGATTTCGCTTGTGCGCGGTGTTTTTTCGGTGCAGACACCCCGGCGCCGCGAGCCTGCAGATTTGGGACCCTCGCCGATTCGGCCAAACCAAGGGCCACGCGTCCAGCGCAGTGCTGCGCCCGTATCTGTGCTCGCCCCTGGATGTGGGGCTGATGGGGGGCCGAGGCGCGAGCTGCCTGGTAGTTCTTGTTACCCCGACTCCAGGCCAGCCGCCTCCCGGGAAGCCGAACATGATGAAAACGAGGCAAAGGCACGAAGAGAGCCAAAACGAAGCAACGGTAGCGGTATCGGTGGCGCTTTCTCCACTGAGGCGCGCCCGAAGCGCGATGCCAACCGCACGCACCGAGCGGTGAGGGAGGAGGAGGGAGGGTTGAGGACGGAGGGAGGGAGGGCGGAAGGAGGGGGGCGGGCGGGCGGGGGAGGAGGAAGGGGGGAAAAAGGGTAGGGAGGGAGGAGGAAGAGGAGGAAAAGAAGAAGTAGGAGGAGGAGTAGGAGGAAGAGGCGGGAGAGGCGAGGAGGGGGAGGAGGAGGAGGAGGAGGAGGAGGAGGAGGAGAAGGAGGAGGAGGAGGAGGAAAAGGAGGAGAGAGGGGAGGAAGGAGGAGGAGGAGGACCCAGAGGAGAAGGAGGAGGAGGAGGAGGAGGGAGAGAAGAGGGGGCACAGGAGGAGGAGGAGGAAGAGGAGGAAAGAAATGAGAAGAGAATGAAGAGGTAGAACGGAGGATGAAGATGAGGAGAAGAAGCAGTGTAAACCCAAGACTCATCAACGATATTGCGAGAAACCCTCCCTCCAAGTTCGCTGTTCGTGAGCCCCAACAAGAATTCCTCTCCACGGAGGAGAGTGCACCGTTGGACGACAACCGTTTGAACATCTTAAACTGTGCCAAGAAGCCATGTCTGGGACTGCAACTCAGCGAATCACTGCTACTGCTGCGTCGTGACGATTCTGAATCGTGCCAGAAAACCGTTATTGCGACTTCGACACCGCAAATCAACGTACTGTTTGCGCGCTGTCAGTCCGACCTCGTGCCAAGCCTTTCTGGGACGTTGAGCATGAGAACCCATGCAACACTTCTTGTAAACTCTTCCAACGAATGGGCGCAGCGCTGAGGACATAACAACACCTCGAAAAGGCACCGCCATCAATCCGTGTAACCCGTGCAACTGCTTAAGACGAAGGTGCGCGGCGCTGGCGCGAGAGCCACAACTTAAAAAGCCTCCCACCTTACGTCCGCCAAGCTCTTGCAACGTCTGGGAACGAAAGCGCGCGCGGCGCCAACGCGAGAACCACATTTTGACAAGGTCCTGCCCTCCATCTGGGGAAGTCAAGTCCTTGCGAACTTTAAACAACGACTGTGCGCGGCGTTAAGGCGAGAGCCATCCGCCACCGTGCCTGCGCGGAGTGGGAGCGTTAGAATGCTCATGTGGTCCGTCTGGGAATGTGTTTGTAATGTGTTCTAGGGCCACCACCACCCCCTGCATCACGCGAAGGGTTAAAATATCTCCCCCCCTGAAGTCGCTCCCTGGCGTTCTGTTCGGCCTCTAGACGGCCAAGATGGCCTCCAAGACGGCTTCCAGGACAACCATGACGGTCAAATGACTGCTCACGAGGCTCAAGATGGCCCAGGACGGCTCCAGAGGCTCTGAAGACGGCCCCCTGGCGGCCCCCAAGACGGCCCAAGGGGCTCCGAGAGGCCATCAAGGACAGCCCGAGAAGGCCAACACCATTGATTTGCCGTAGGGGTTTGAAGGATTGTGAGGTTCACGCTTGCTTCGGTTTCTGACCGCCGAAGACGGCCCAAGAGGCGCCGAGATGCCTCCGAGACAGCCAAAGCCCAAAGGGCCCCCAAGCGGGCCCCAAGTCGGCCCAAGAGGATCCCAAGATCGCCCAAGAGGCCCCCAAGAGGCCCCCAAGAGGGCCTCAAGGTGGTCCGGGCGCCAGGCGGGCTAAGAACACTCAACGACAACCCAAGAGAGCCCGGAGAGGCCCCAGGAAGCACCCAGGAGGCCCCCAGGACGCCTTTCGAAAGAAACCAATCATTGGCTTCATGCGTTGGTGGAAAGCTGTTGAGGCTCTCGCCTCCTCGGGTTCCGCTCACCCACGACGGCCCCAAAAAAGGCCTCCAATAATAGTTCCAGGGCGACCCGCGAGGCTCCCAAAAGAGGGCCCCAACCTCGGCCCCAAGGGGACCCCCAAGATCGCCCGAGAGGCTGCCAGGAGGTCCTCAGCGCGGCCCGACAGCGCTCCAAGATCACACTATAAGGCCCAGAAAGGCACTGAAGACTAGGAGGGGCCGGGAGGAGGAGGAGGAGGAGGAGGAGGAGGAGGAGGAGGAGGAGGAGGAGGAGGAGGAGGAGGAGTTGCCCCCGAAGGGGTCAGACGGGCCAGGAGCCGCCTAGGGCCCAGGACGGCCCAAGAAGCCCCGAGAGGCCCCAGGAGACAGCGAAGAGCACGTAACGCCCCGCAGTTGCGGAGAAGAGTGGGGGGGCTGCGAGGGCGTCCTCAGTCTACGAGGCTCTCGAGGAGCCCGCCGCAGGCGCCTAGCTTTTACAACTCATGCATTGAGCCCGCCGCAATCGCCGTTTTTTTCGTTAAATCATTGCGGGTGGATCGCGGGGTGGGTCGCGGGTGGGTCGCGGGTGGGCCGCGGGCCGGGTCGCGGGTGGGTCGCGGGTGGGTCGCGCGTGGGTCGCCGGGTGGGTCGCAGGGTGGGTCGCGGGTGGGTCGCGGGTGGGTCGCGGGGTGGGTAGTGGGGTGGGTCACGGGGTGGGTCGCGGGGTGGGTCGAGGGGTGGGTCACGGGGTGGGTCGCGGGGTGGGTCGCAGGGTGGGTCGCGGGGTGGGTCGCAGGGTGGGTCGCGGGTGGGTCGCGGGCGGGTCATGGGGTGGGTCGCGGGTGGGTCGCGGGTGTGTCGCGGGCTGGGTCGCGGGGTGGGTCACGGGGTGGGTCGCGGGGTTGGTCGCGGGGTGGGTCGCGGGTGGGTCGCGGGGTGGGTCGCAGGGGGGACGACGACAACAAACAACAACAAGCAGAATCCTCACCACGGATCCCCACTAGAGCCACGCACCCAGGGACAATGAATGACCGTTTGGCCCCCTCACTCTGATATAGAGCTCCAAGACAGCCCAGGAGTTCCCGAACAGGGTCCCAAGTCGGCCCAAAGGAACCCTAACTTCGCCCACCAGGCCCCCAAGAGGGCCCCAAGGCAGCCCCGAAGCGCTCCAAGAGTGCACCAAAACTGCCCAGAGAAGCCCCCCAAGAAGGCTCTCGACGAATATGCGCGGCGCTATGGCGAGAGCCACATTTGGAAAACGGCATGCCCTGCACCCACGAAGCTGTCGCACTTGTTTCGAACCGTATGTGCGCGGCGCTGGGGCGAGGACTACGTTTTGAGAACGGCCCACCCTCCACCCGTGAGATGTACAAACTCTCGGCGCAAGGAGCATACACTGTGAGGGAGTCTCGGGCGAAACGCCCTGCCCGCCCCGCAACTCGGGGTGCGGCAGGGAGGAGTTATCTACATGGCAGAGGAGAAGGAGGAGAAGGAGGAGGAGGAGAGGAGGAAGAGGAGGAGGGGAGGAAGAAAGGACGATGGTGATGCTGGTGATAATGATGATGACGATAGTGAGTGCTGATGATGATGGTTGATGATGATGGTGATGATCATGATCATGAGCATGCTGATTGTGACAATGACGATAATGATGATAATGATGATCATGGTTATGATGATGAGTATGATGATGATGACTATGATGATGATGATGATGATGATGATGATGATGATGATGATGATGATGATGATGATTATGATGAGCATGATAATTGTGATGATGCTGATGATGCAGATGATGATGACTATGATGATGATGCTGCTGATGCTGCTGCTGTTGCTGATGATGATGATGCTGATGATGATGATGATGATGATGATGATGATGATGATGATGATGATGATGATGATGATGATACTGCTGCAGCTGCTAATGAGGAGGAGGAGGAGGAGGAAGAGGAGGAGGAGGAGGAGGAGGGAGAAGGGGGAGGAGAAGGAGGACGAGGACGCGGACGAGGACGAGGAGAAGCGAGAGGAGGGGGAGGAGGAGGAGGGGGAGGAGCAGGAGGAGGGAGGAGGAGGAGGAGGAGGAGAGGAGGAGGAGGAGGAGGGAGCAGGAGGAGGAGGAGGAGGAGGAGGAGGATGAGGAGAGGAGGAGGAGGAGGAGAGGAGGAGGAGGAGAGGAGAGGAGAGGAGGAGGAGGATGAGGAGGAGGAGGAGGAGGAGGAAGGAGGAGGAGGAGAAGGAGAGCGAGAATGAGAGGAGCGCGGTCCTGGCCGCCAGCCGCCTGCCGGGGCTCCGCCGCCGCCCGCTCCGCCTCGCGGTCGCGGGCGCGCGGCTCCTGCTCGCTCCCGGGCAGCGCCTGCCGCATCTGGTCGACCTCGGGGCAGCAGACTCGGGTCGGGCGTGTCCTCCTACAGGCGAATTTTGGACGAGAAACTGAGGATACAGTTGGCCCTTGATTGGACAGGACACGCGAGAGGACACAAGACCCTTCCGGAGGCCACATCGCCATAGGAGTGTAAGAAGGCACGTGCCGCGAGGCACAGGACACAAGGGTACCCTTGAGCTGGCAGGGTCGACCTACTAATCCGGATCGACTGTAGGCGCAAAATGCGCAACCATAGTCAAAAACATCAGGGAAAAGCCTCCCCCGACAATTTTTTTGTACGATTCGTGAACAGTCCACCTGTAGAGGGACACGCCCGACATAGCAGGAGACTCTGTCTACGCATCCGGGGCCCAACTGTGTCGCATGCCGACGCGGGCGTGGTCACTCGGGCGCCGAGCTGGATGAGAAAACATTCCCGGCCAGAAGGGACGGAGACGCGCCGATGTGCATGTTTTGGCGGCGCGCAAAAGGGGGTGGAGGGAGAGGGGAAGGCTTCTTAGAAGGAGGCTGCTTCTTAGTACTCCTTAGAAGGTGCCGGCCTTACATCTATAGATAAGGACCGCGCCTTCGAAGCAGCAGGGGTGCTTCTAAGAAGCCCTCCCCCCTCCCCCCACCCCCCTCTGCTCGGGCGTTGGCAGAACAGGGTGTAGTGGGACCTGGTTTAGTGGTGTGTACTGGGGGACGCCCCGCCCCGTTCCACTCACCGGAGCTGCCGTCACCCGAAGAAAAACACCAGCTATACGGCAGACCTGGCTTAGTGGCTCTGGCAAGCTTGGGTGCTCCGGGGCCCTACCGCTGACCGGGAGGAGGAGGAGGAGGAGGAGGAGGAGGAGGAGGAGGAGGAGGAGGAGGAGGAGGAGGAGGGAGGAGGAGGAGGAGGAGAGGGAGGAGGAGAGAGGAGGAGGAGGAGGAGGAGGAGGAGGAGGAGGAGGAGGGAGAGGAGGAGAGGAGGAGGGAGAGGAGGAGGAGGAGGAGGAGGAGGAGGAGGAGGAGGAGGAGGAGGAGGAGGAGGAGGGAGGAGGAGGAGGAGGAGGAGGAGGAGGAGGAGGAGGAGGAGGAGGAGGAGGAGCCCCCTTGCCAGGGGCCCTGGCTATACCCGATATCCGCGCGTGGCCGGATGTTGCCCCGCTCGTGTGGCACGGTGCCCCCACGGAGTGCCTCGCGAGCCTCCGGCGGCGGCGCCCCGCGCGCTGCGGGCCGGCTCTCCCGGCGGTGCTCGCCGGTCCCTTCGGGCGCTCTCGCCCCGACCAGCCACAACTGGGGGAGCTGTGGTCTTTACCCCCCTGGGGGAACCCATCGCATCGACGATCTCTCGAGAGGGGTGTCGAGATTGAGGGGTCCCCCCCGGGGGGGTAAGGACCACAGCTCTCCCAGTTGTGGCTGGCCTGCTCTCCTGTGGCCGCGCCAGATCCCAGGCCGTCCCGGGGGCGCGCGGAGTGGGCGCCGCTTCGTGTGTGTGGGGGGGGGGGGGGCACATCGGCCGGAAGAGGCAGGTGGAAAAACAGGAAGTGGGAAGGCGGATCGAGCAGATTGGGTTTGATCCCTCCCAGAGACTAACAGACACAGCGAAAGCAAGTCGACTCCTGAAGTAGGAAGGCGCTTGAAGCAGCTTGGGATCTAGGAGCTTGTTGTATATGTGTTTTTCTTCTCTTCTTTTTTTGAAGCAAAAAACAGCAACAACAAAAAAACGTTCAACGACCGGCGTGTGCATGGGGAAGAAAAAGGTGCACTTCTCGGTCCCTAGATCTGGACGAAGACAACAATCCCCACCCCCACCGGGGAAACCTTGGCCCCGCCGGGCAATCTCCCTCCCCATGGGTGGGAATGGGGTACCGTCTCCGTCGGGTTTCGGAGCACCCGTCCCCACTTAGAGGGGGTACGCTGGGAGAGCCAACTTACCCTGCCCTGGTGGGGGTGGGGATGGTTCCGACGATGATGACCAACGGCCCCCATTTGAGCCCTGAAGGGCTCTTTTAGGGGCCCTGAAGGGCCCTTTGCTGCAGCCCTCGGGTCCGATTCCTGCGTCTGCAGTCGCCACATTCGGCGCGAACGGTGAGATTTTGGGGTCCTGGGGCGCCGCCGCGTCGACGGAAGCACTTGCGTTTGATTTCGAAGAGGGACGTGGGCAAGAGTGACCTTCGGTGCGCGGACTCAGGGGGCCCAAGGTTGCCAAGTCCAGGCGCGCAAGGAGCCGCTCACGCATCGCGCTCCGCGATCGAGGGGACCCCGATGAGCTCGCACCAGAGGTCACTCCCGCGAAGGGCCACCCCTTACGCGTGTCAGAATCGACCTGGGCGCAACGCCGGTGGCGCAAGGCATCTCGCACTCCGCCGGGCCCCTTCCCAGGCGGCGACTGTTGACGCTCGGGCGCTTCGCGCCCGCACCCGGGGCCTCCCACCTGCGGCGCCGTGACGGTCGCGGGGCCCAGGCCCTCGACGTCGTGGATTTTCGCAACGTCGGCTCTGGAGGGCTCGACCCATTCCCCTGGACCGGCCGTTCCTCCTGGACCTTTCTGGGACGGCCCCGAGGGCCAGTGAGTGCTTCGGGAGGCCGAGAACACGGAGAGCCCGCCCGCTATGACTTTTGTTGCATTGCCCCAAGGGGTCCGGGGAGGACCTCTGGTGGCGTGGGCCGCTCTGGCCGTGAGTGGGCCGCCGTGGCCTCCCGCCCCCAGGTGG